TAATTTTATTTCAAGTATTTACATAAATATCATTTTGTTGCATTATATATAGTAAATTAATTTTGAGATCATATCACATGTCGCAGTAATCTCTCATGATATATGGACAAGCATTAATCAAACTTACCGCCAAAATGACGTTGAATGCAACCGAGGATAGTTTTACGGTGGTGGTAGCGCAACCCATGACGACGCTCTATAGGACTGTGTAGACTCGAATTGTTCAAAAAGCTAAGGGGAAGTGTTATATATAATTAATAACAATTTTAAAACGAAACATGCAGAATGTAAAGTATATATTGATGTACATATTAATACAAATATATGATATTTAATTTGTCACTAATTTAGTTTTAATTAATTTTAATTCTAAGCTTGAATATTAACTTTTATTTTTAATTATAATTAATATTCTTTTGTTTCCCATTGTTCAAAAGCAACAATTATTAATATGTATATCAGTTTTTTAATATTAATATTTTCGTATATTTGCACTAAGAGAAAATTTTTTATATTATAATTATAAAAAAATTTTTTATATTATATTTTATTATTTTATATTTATTATATACTATAATTATATTATAATTATAGTATTATAGTAATTATTATAGTATTATATTATAAATATAGTATTATAGTATTCTAATTCCTTTCCGATTTAATTCCTTGGCCGATATTTTACTACTGTTATTTTACTTCAACTTAGTTCATTTCATTTTATCTAATTTTATTCTATATGAGTTATATAAATTTGATATATATTAGCTTATTTTTTAATTTTTTAATGTATATTTCTTCATTTAAAACTTAATTTAATAGCATTATTTTCATTTTAATTTAACTTTATGTTTTTATTTATATTATATTATTTTAGTTTTACTCTAAATTTGCGTTTGAGTTTGTATTTTCTTTTATTTTCTTTTAATATATATTACTTTATTTGCGATTGTATTTAAGCTCAATTTATTTTCTTTAAAATAATACAAATATATTTTAACCTACATTATTTATTTTATTCCATCTTATTACATTTTATTTGATTTTATTTATAGATTGTTTTACTCTGAATTTGTTTTATTTTAAATTTCTTTATATCAGTTGTTGGTTTAGTTTTTAACTCAATTTAATATATTTAAATTATTAATTTTTTTAGAGAGACTTCGAAAAGCAGTCAAACACAATAATAACAATACTTTCTATATTATTTTAATTAATTAAATTTTTGGCTAACCATACATTTTTTTATTGTATTTTAATTAATATTAAAATACTAATTAATATTAATATTAAATGAAGTTACAATCTTATTTAATTTTGTTTAATTTTATTTTATATGTTTTTTAATTATTTTATTTATTTTACCTTATTTTATTTTTTTTCTAAAAATTCACATTATTCACGATTTCAATATTTTTTATATTACTTTATCACTTTATATTTAAAGTGAAGTAATTAAAATTAAAATTTAAAATTTGAAAAATTATTAATTTATATGAGAATTCATTTAATTTTAATTTTTATTTTACTATTTTATAAATTCTTAATTTATTTTATTTATTGTATTTTATCTTATTTGATTTTATTTATATTATGTTTTATTCTGATTTTGCTTTCTGTTATATTACTTTATATTATGAATTTTCATTTCATTTTATTTAAATTATTCAATATTGATTTTATTTTATCGTTTCATATTCTTAAATTTTATATTAAATCATGTTCATTTTTTTTTTTTGTTAATTATATTTGTTCAATTTTTCATATTGTTTTAAATTACTTTATGTATTTTATTTTATTTATTTATTATATTTTGTGTTTATGGCTGTGTTCGATGGTTTTTGGTTAATAGGTTTTAAAACTAGGTTTTTATTCCAGCGCTTAATTTTTCTTCTTTCTTTCTTGATTTTCTTCGTCTCTTTTTCACTTATTTCTCTTTCTTAAATGTCACAAATCACAGTTAATAATTTATTAACTTTGGTAACTTTGGTTTATTTTTTATTTTATTAATGGTTATTACGTCATTGATGTTAACTTAAAATGACATAATTACTAATCTTTAAACTTTTCTTCAATTTAAATAATTAAAAATAAATCTAGTAATTCGTTTCTATTTTAAACAATATAATAATTAAAAATTAAGTACAATATATTAGTTCAAATAAATTTTTTAAATAATTATTTTTAATTTACTATAAAAATATAAATTAAATAATTTATTGTTTACTCAGAACACTGACAAAAAGTCCTTCAGAAATTAAAATGTCAACACATAAAATTTGTATGTTTTAAAAAGCATTATAAATATTTTTGTAAACACATTTTTTTATATACTCATTTTTTTTATTTATTTTCTTACACTTTTCACAAAAAAACGAAAATAAGATTTTACAAAATAAATCTTTTAAGTTACACGTTCACCCACAAACTAAACACAAAAGGTTATTTTTTTCTACTCTCCAAGTATCAATTTAGCACACAAACTGTTCAACAGCAAAAAAGACATTCAAAATTTTCGTTTTTTTCTTTGAAACTCAAGCAACGATGACGTCACGTTATCACATACAAACAAGTTTCAAAATTCACTCATATAACCTGCGTGCCAATAGCCAGCCAAGCAAACTACGAATGCTTCTTATTACTACAGATTGTGTACGCGCTCTTTTTTTGTTAATGCTATTGTTGTTGTTGATGTTTTTGTTGCTGTTCTTGTTGCCTAATTAATGTATTTTCATTTTATATATTTTACGTTTGTCACTGTTTGGAGTAGCTTGCCATACGTTACATTTCAGTTGATTTTGTTTTTATTTGTGTTTTGTGTTTACGTTGTTATGACATTGTTGCTTATATACATTGTTGCTGTATACAAACAAACGCAATAGCGGTATAATAACAAATACGAATTGAGTTCAATTAATTGAGTTTGCCGGCCGGAAAAAAGCTTTTCGAGCACTTTTCTGTGCATTTGGATTTGTTTACAAACATTTCATCGCATTCTTTATTGTGCATACTAAACAGAATAATGCTTTCGCTATGCACAAACAAATTTATATGTATGTATATGAAATCAGTTTGCATTTTGAGTTTATTTAATATTGAGTGGCAAGTGTTTACGTTATACGAGTGTTTTTATATAAAAGAGCGTAAGAGTTGTTATTATTATTTTAGGCACATTTGTTTATAAATTATGCAAATTAATTGAATTATTTTTCAATTTGTCATGTTAAGTGCATTTAATGCAATTAAGAATATTAATTAAAATGTGGAAAGTTGCATTTTATCACATCAACTTTATAATGTTTTGATTTCGTTTTGACGTCCACATTTATATTAAAACCATCAAATTGTATAATAAATCAATTAATTTGATTAGTTTGTACTATTTAATAGAATCTTATACTTTATTACTTAATTAAAAGCCAAAATAAATATTGGGTGTTATAAAAGAACTATACTGTAGACATGCTTAGAAGTAGGGATTATAAAAGAATATAATAACCAATTATACTAATAATTTTAAAACAAATTTTCCCAGCCTATATAGTCCACAAAATAACCTAATATGGTCAAACCAACTCCACATGCTTCTAATATAATTGTTATATACTTACGTAGTTGCCGATTTCAAATATTAGTCGTTCTGGACCGCGTTCAGTAGTCTCTTCCAGCCAATACGATCGGTAGCCTACTTTCGCGAATTGGTAGTGCCGAGTGCCTTCATACCATTAGTCACCGGTCGGTGTCTACCACGTTATTCACTTCAGGGTATCGAATCAAACACGTTTCTAGCCGGAGTATTTACTTCCATTTCCACGACATGATCAACCAAGCAAAGATGCTGAATTTGTATGCACTTATAGGGCTGAAAGTTCCTTCTAGTTCGATACTTATTACCAACGTGTACGAGACTAAAGACCTTCCAAAGCATTATCTATTAGTTATTTTTCAAGCTACTACACTATATAGCAGGACAGTCATGCCAAGAGACTTGAAGAGAGTAATTTTTGTGTGCCAAGAGAGTGATTTATTACTCAATTGCTTCCTTAGCCCAAAGATTGAGTTAGCCTATTGGGAAGACTGATTGGGAAGAGTGCATTTCTAGGCTGACATCATTTGTAATGCACTTATTAGGTAATATGAATTCGAGTACATATCTATTTTAGAAAAAGTAATATCTGAACGCACTGCAGTGTTTCCGTGCCTTCGTACATTTATAAAATAACAAAATAAATAATAGGCCATTGACGTCTCAATTTTACTGATACTGAAAGAAAAGAAGATCGTCGTTCATAAACACTAAAATCGCATGAAAAACGTAAAACTCATATTAATGCTTCAAAATGTATCGAAAATTTAAGTTAGAGACTGTTAAGAGCACAAATTTATTGTTGAATATAACGGGGATTGATAAGCAAAGCTGTAGGGGACAGTGCCACCCCTAGTCTATTTATACAAAATATGAAAAATTTTACTTACTACATATTGAATGCGATAGAGTAGAGTAAAGCACTTCAATCAATGTTTTTTGTGTTAGAACTAACCGCAAAGAAACCACTTAAGCAAGATATCTGTGGGTGAATGTCACTCGTTAAAGAATAATAGGGTCAGGAACTTTACTATCTTTCTCCTAATCAAGAGCAAAGTCGGACAGTTACAGAGAATGTGACTTGAAATCACTTTCCATTCCAGATAAAAACGACAATTTTTCACTTTATAGAGAGTATTTTCTCTCAAATGGTAACACAAATCAAGATATATGGACATGTAGGTTACCAGTAATCTCAGTTCAATGCTACTTCGGAGGGAAGTGTCTGTTTAGTCAAAGAGTCAAAGAATCAGAGAATAACCTTTATTCTAGAACAAATTTAATCCTTTCCTTTTCATGATAACTTAATAAAGAAACTAGCTTGTTAAGTCAAGCATCTTTTAATATAATTTAAATTCAAATCAAATACAAATATTTTTTTTATTTGGACATTCCTGTAATATTTATTCGAGTTTTTTGAAAGGTACAAGTGACAAGTATAAAATATTATTATTAAATATAATAAAATTAAATAAAATAAATAAATAATTTATTTCTAAAAGTAAATTATACTAAAATTATTTTAAAAAAAGATTTACAAACTTTAAGATAACTTAAGTCCAATAAATCTAATATTAATAACTATATCTCCTTCGCCGATTTGTGTAATGTATAGCTAATACAGTTGCTATAACCAAAATTATAATCTGTAAAAAAAAACATTTTGATAAATATATTCTTCCAAAAAATTTCAGAAATTTTATAATATTTACATCAAATCCAATCAATCCCCATTCATTGTATTTCATTATAATCTCTTCATCGGAGAATGAGTTCTCCACTTTTGCTAAACAACCGGTAATATAAAGATTCAACGGATTTATACAATTATGATCTACACAGCAGCTAGCAGGAGGTAAACGTTGTATAGTAATATAATCCTCTGGAGAATTACGACCACAACAGGAATACTGAAATTAACGGAAATAATTTTTTATTCTTAAATAAATTTTATATGGAATTATGAGAATGTAAGCATTATTATAAGTACTTGTTTTGATAAACCCTTACAAAAATGGTCAAACTTACTGTGGTTTGAATGGTATCCATAGCTCCTGATTTTTTCAATTCCTTTTTCCAGTGATATTCCACACCTTCTAATGCATATTTCTTAAATACATCCGGTTTACTTATTAGCATAAAAACAACGACCAGAATCAGTAGTATCAGTAAAAAGACTATATACTAAAGGAAATGTATATTATTAAATGAATATACTATATATTTATATATGTATGGATATATTAAGGTGATATTCTAACTTACTGTCCATAGAATACGTGGAGACTCACGCAGTGTTCCAAAACAACCGAAAAATGATATTAAAACTAGCACGAGCCCTAAAGCAATGATGCCAATAGCATATATTTGTGGCATAGCGCCCCAACCGAGCGCTCCAAATAATATGACATATATGCCAAGAATCTGAAAAATGAAAGAATGTTAATTATTTTTTCAATAAATTACTTTATAAATAAAGAAAACTTGATTAATCACGAAATTATCTAATGTATCACTAAATTATCTAATATATTGTGTACAGTATTAATTACTTCCGCGTCTACAGAAACTATTGTATTAAGTATGATCACTTCGATCACTTACTAATTTAAAAAATGATTCAATACGTATCATTAATAATTCATTAAAATGCATAAACTTATTATTAAATACTTTTTAAGACAATGACTGCTATTTATTTGTGGGAGGAAACCAGAGTTTAGTGGTCTTTCATTTGGTAAGCCTAGTTGCATCATAAATTATCTATAAGCATACAGTATAATTCGATTATAAATTAAACGTATTTATATGGAAATGTAATAAACTCATCTCAGTAAGACATTATATCATTTATATTTATACAAATTTATTATACATATAGAAAAATAAATAGTTTACAGATATCACTTACACAAAACCTACTCATGAAAACTGAGTCATCGAACAGATCTTAGCAGTGTTCAAACCACAGACTAAATGAGTTAGAATCATTTTAAAAAGAACGTAATAATCAAAAAAAGAATGTCAAAGAACTGCTTAAAGGGCAAATAATTAATTGATAAAGAAATGTGATTCTACCTTTCTTGTTGTTTCTTGTTTAAGAAAGAAACACTTACTTCACAACAAACGTGCCATTCAAAATCTATAGAGATTTGAGAGAAAACTAGAAGCCGGTTAAGTAGTACCAATGAAAGAAATAGTTCTCTAAATCCAAATACTAAATCAGAATAATAAGTCAAACTCATAAAATCTCCAATGAAATATTTGAATCTTCTAATAATATCTATTGGTTTCGTTTTGACAGATCATTCATTGGTCGCTAAGTATACAGACCAAAAAATTGACATAGAATTATTATAACCAAAATTTTAAAACCATCAACAAAGAAGAAGAAGAAGAGACAATAAAAAAATATTTTACAATGTTCAGGCTTAGTCAAATATTTCATTGGGGAACGGACATTCCATATATAGGTCTTAAAGAACTACTCTACGCAATTAACAGCGAAAGTAAACTTTAAACATGTTTTCATAATTTTTATCTCTGAAAGTAGCTACTCAGATATTACAGTGCGTGTCAACTAGACTATGACAACCAGGATTTGGATTCAACTTTATTCTGGTTTAAAAACACGCATTATAAACATTTGAAAAAACTATATTTCAGGAATAGATCCACCATTATATTGTAAAATATGCTTTAAATTTTTTATATCTTAAAATAAAGCACCCTGTAATTTATTTTATTTTATATTATTAATTACATGAATATATAAAAAAATTTGAATTTATCAATGGATAATTTATTAAGTATTAAAGAATTAATATTAATAAATATTAGTGATTTGCATAATAAAAAAGTTAATATTGAGTAAAAATTATAAATGAAGAATAATCAAAAAATTTTAAATTAATTATACGAAATCTTCTAGAAACAAGAAAAAAATTTTGTTCTGGCTTTGCTAAAGCTTTGATACCCTACATGATTACTTAGTTAGTAGTCCATCAGAACTTACATTAAAATTAAGAGTTCATACAATATAACGATTGTATTTAAAGAAAAAAAAGATTAAAATTACAAATAAAATTATTTATATTATTAAATCTGGAGACGAGATTAATATAATTAATAATTTGTTGAAGGTAAATAAATTATAACCTAATTAATAAATCTATTAGATATATTCAAATCTTAGCCCTTTCAGTATTCAATAATGGTGTATAACATGAATTTGGATACTTAACAAATCAAAACTACAATGGCACATTGACAAAAAAATGTTGTCATATCAGAAGAGTAATACAACGGTCTCATATACTGTGTCTGAAATGATTAGCATAGAATTTTACATTATCCTTTGTTATAAACGAAATCTTATATGGCATGGGGTACCATGATCAAAAACTAATTAACTTGCAATCTTTAAATCTCGTCTTATTATAGTGATAAAATTTTGGTGGTTCTAAACAAAGTTCACTCTTATTAAATACCGAGTATCATTTCAGATGACAAGTTAAAATAAATGACTATATCGAACAATATTATCGAGCTGATAATGTATATATAAAATGAACATTCCAATGTACGAGTATATAGCATTTCATTAATACATCAATCAATCAAAAATAGCTGTATTGATGAATCTTACCTAGCTGTTTAAGACAGTATATGGATTAAATGTTCTTTAGATATTCTCTATTGTTTTACTAAAGTATTTTGCTAAAGTATATAGTAAATGTTGGATTTAGAAGTTATGCATGTAGGGTATAAAAATGAGTCTAAGCGGTGTCTTATGTTATTCTCATGTTAAAAATCTTTCAATAGTTTGCTAATTTTGAATAAAAAAACCTCAGAGATATACGTGGCGATTAAAAACCTGCTACTTTAGTCAATTTTTTTACAATAAAATAATTTATGTTGCATAGAAGGTTCGCAGGAATTATTTTGTTAAAACAAAGATAAAAATAAATAATGTATATATTATTATTAAAATAATAATAGTAACAAATACTTAATATTACGTCTGTATTTTTATTTAGTCTTACATGTACATGTGTTACAAATATATTATAATAGAATAGGTGATATAATGAAAAATTTTTAATTCTACCTACTTGAAATAGAATACCCGAAACAGTGATATATTTATAAAAAAAAATAATATATAAGTAATATCTTTCAATGAGTATTATTAAATCATTTAAGTTCTATATATCTTGATACTTAAACAGTTATAAGATAGATTTTTTCTTGGCAAAATTCAAGGTATTTATTTCTTTTTATTTTCACAAAGCAGTGAAGTCGGCCGTTGGAAAAAATTATTTAAACTTATTTTGTTAATTGTAAACTAACAGGCTCAAGCTTTGGTTAGGCTACAAATCTGCCCGTCCGTAAGCCACAAAAAGACCTATTGAAAGTTCAAATATGTACTTAAAAAAATTATTTTCTACATTCTTAAAGGCTTTTGAATATACATATTATTTAAATATTTTTATATATTTTACATTAGTTTTAATTTGCTTTTAATATTTTGGTACTATATAAAACATAGTAGTGTGGTATTTATTAAACCACACAGAATAATAAAAAAATAATAAAATATAATTTAATTATATTAACGAGCAAGTTTTTAATTTAAAGCTGAGTAATAAAAAAA